GTCTTGAACTACAACAAGAGCTACACCTCTCTCTGTAGCTGTGAGGTGTCATGCTACAATATTGTGCTTGACGCATGCCACGATCAAGTATATGTTACAAGATTTAATTGAGCAAATTAAGTAAAATTTACCTGATTTACTCACAAATCTTTAACTATATTCTTAATAACTTTTACTAGATAATGATGAAAGTAAATATTACGTGAATTTGTAGCATTTAAATTTACTTACCAAATGTTAGTGCAAATTTGTTAGAGGATTTTTTTCAAGTACATCTTACAAGTTGTTTTTTTCAGTGGTGGACTTTTCTGCTGCCATGATTCAATAACTGAGTGAGAAACTGGTCTGAGGTCAGACACTTTGATATTCTTTGTGGAAACCACAGGTGCCATGTCTTCCATACAAAAGAGGGGCTGTTATCAGTACAGAGTTCAAATCACTGSCTCTCTGACAGTATGGGGGTGCATTACTGCCCCTGGCATGGGCAGCTTACACAACTGCAGAGAAACTATCAGTGCAGAATATGCTTCCATCCAGCAGAACAATGAACACTAAACCACAAACTGCCTCCATCACAACAGCATGGCTCAGGTAGAAGAGTCTGGGTGCTGAACTGTCCTGCCTGCAGTCCAACTAAAGGATCACAAAATGAAAAATCTGTCCAAGAAAACACAGAACTGTTGAACAACCTGAATTCTACACCAGACCACCAACAACTGGTCTCCTCATTTCCTGGAATTTTTGGTGTAAGAAGAGGGCATGCTTCACTCACTCTTCTTTTTTCACGTGTTACTGACATCAAATTCAAAATTCTTATTTTTCAGTTTTAATTGGCACAAGTTCACACTTGAAACATTTGATGTCTGATGCGTTGCAATAATCCAGGTAAAAAAACAGTTGAGTAGGTCCTCTGGACGGGTTTTTCTTTGTTGAAAAAAGGTTTCGTCTCACCTCCACGAGACTTCTTCAGTCTGAGGAGTCACAGGTGAACTCAGCCTTATAAGCTCCGCCTTCACATGATTGGGATCTTTTAATGAAAACTGAGGGGAGTGAATAATTTTGCTCCTTGCTGAATTGAATGTTAATCATCTGACTTTTATCATAACCTTTTCTTTTTGTGTAGCAGAAATATTTTCCTGTTTGCAGTGTTGTATAAAGTACCTCAAAGTGATACTTGAGTAAAAGTAAAAGTATTGGTTAAAGTTGAAGTCTTCTCTAAAAATATTACTTGAGTAAAATTCTTAAAGTATCTGATATTTTTTGTACTTAAGTATCAAAAGTAAATTTCTGACACAAAATCTACTTAAGTATTAAAAGTAAAAGTACCGAGTAAAAGTGAGCAGTTAGATTTTACTAATGACATTTATTGGGAGGCGACTTCTCCAAAAAAATGTTTTTCTAACGGCGTGCAGCTTGCAGGGTTGTGTACAAGCTAATAGTGTGTCAGAATGGTTTATATACTTCTCATCCAACCACAATTAAATTCACTCTATCCAGGAGACACAATTTATCAGGATAGTATTTTTTTAAGTAATAACAACTCAGAATAAAATCGGAGTAACGACTTTCTACTTCTTACCTTTTAAAAAAATGTAGTGAGTAGAAAGTACAGATAATTGTACAAAAATGTCATGAGTAAAAGTAAAAAGTACGATGAAAAATAATTACTCAAGTAAAGTACAGTTAACCAAAATTTCTACTTAAGTACAGTAACAAAGTATTTGTACTTAGTTACTTTACAACTCTGCCTGCTTGCTTTTCCTCTAAATCTAGATCATTTGACAGGGGTCTGAGGGTGTGGGACCACCATGTGGACCAGGCCCAGCCTTGCAGAGGGGTGTTTTACCTGCCGCCCTCTCCAGCTTCTCGCAGCACCTCCTCTGCTAACTGAGCTGCCGTCTCGTCACTGTACCAGAACTGGCTCATCCTCTGTCAGACACACAGTGAGCTCATCAGACTTCATCAAGAAGAACAAATGTGTTGTTTTTATCCTCCATCATCATCATCATCATCATCATCATCATCATCATCATCATCATCTGTATCTGTATCTGAGATCAGACAGGAAGATATAATAATACAGTGACAGAATTTAAACATCCACAAAGTTTTATAACCCTAAACCTCACCCAGTCCTCCTCCACTGCTCCCACAGCGAATGGGTCTGAGGGTGTGGTACCATGATCCGGACCGGTCCCTGTCTCCTTGTAGAACTCCTGCAGGGCTGCCAGAGTGTGAGCTGACAGAGTGGGGACATCATCATCATCATCATCACAGTCGCTCATGGCTGAGGGCGAGACCAGAGAGGAGTTTCTGTAAGATCTGAGCAAACAGAGGGGAAAAAAAAAGACTCAGAACAAGTTTAAGATGATCTTCTTGCATTTAACAGTCAAATCTTTACATGCAAAAAATAGGAAAGAGATCTRAAAAATTCTCAGTTAATTTTCTCAAAGTGCAAGAAAGTGCAACGTTTTATTAAAAGAATGAAATGGTTAGATTTATTGGCAGCTAAAAAAGCACAAAAACATCACCAACAGAACCAGAATCTGCTCAGCATCAACAAGATGAAACTACCCTTTCTGTTGGGAAGATAAYCTGAAAACATTAGGCATTAATACAGAGAAAAAGTCGAGATTTTACATAATTCTTTAAAAATGGCACACAGAGAGGTTTGCGTCCTCTTTAATCGATTATCTCCTCTTAATCCGAGTCAAATTATCCGGATTTTAAGCAGCTTGTAGAATAATAATAATAATTATTATTAGTCAAAACTGCTTGATTTTAAAATGAAAATATTTTTATCAACTGAACATTTTTATCAAGTCAACAAACGAGCAGAAAGCGACTGAAAAACAAGTTATTTACTGAAAACTGAAGACTTGATCAACAAACCCGAGCAGAATCACTGCTGTCAACACGCGAGCTGTCGCAGGGAAATGACGTCATACGGCTCCTTCACARGGACAAAAGGCTTGGGAGAAAAACTGCCGCAAAACACTTTTTGCTACAAAGTCTTGGTTTTAAACTTTATAATGGACAAATAATTTATAGGCTTTGATGAAYTGAAAAGTGTCCAACATAACTTTGCATCAGTTAAGTAGCTGAAACACCCAATAAAGAGCTCTTCCAGCCGAACTAATTATCTAAAGTGGAGGCATTGCAATAATTTGTTATAGTTTTGTATTTTTTTCATGTATAGTTTTTATATTTGTCTTTTCAATGTTCAAAATGCCTTTTATTTCTGTTTTGCACTGTTTTCATGGTCAAAGTTCATGTACAATATCAATGTAATCAGAGAATGTACGTTTTTCACCTTTGAACTGTTATTTGGCCTAATTTCGCCTGTGTTTATAGTTATTTTTTGCTTTGCATTTTGTACACCCAGTGTCCTGAAGTCAAAAAATGACTGGTAAATATTGTAAACATGTATA